TTTGTAGAGATCCAGATATATCTTCTTACATTTCAGGCTGATTTAGTGGGTTTTCAGAGTGGTCTGGTAGATAACCAGCTCAATTCTGGGGACCGGTTGAAATAAGGTCCCCAACTCCTCTGCCATCATTTTTTTCTTGCCCCAGATTTTTTTTAATGTCCATTTGCATGGAATATCTTTTCTGTTCCTACACTTTCAGTCTGTATGTGTCTTTGTCTCTGAGGTTAGTCTTTTTTTAGGAAGCATATAGATGGATCTTTTTTTTTTCTTTATCCATTCAGTCATCTTATGTCTTTTTATTGGAGCATGTAGTTCATTTACATTTAACCTAATTATTAATAGGTATATACTTATTGCCATTCTCTTAATTGTTTTCTAGGTGTTTTTGTAGTTCTCTGTTTCTTTCTTCTCTTGTTCTCTTTCCCTGTGATTTGATGGTTATTTTTTAGTGTTATGTTGGTATTCCTTTCTCTTTATTTTTTGTGTATCTATTACAGGTTTTTGGTTTGTGGTTACCATAAGGTTCATATAGAACATCCTAAGTATTCTGCAGTGTATTTTAAGTTTATGGTAACTTAACTTTGAACACACTGTAAAAGCACTACATTTTTTACTCCCTCCCCATATTTTATACATTTGACATGATATTTTACATCTTTTTATTTTGTGTATCCCTTACCTAATTATTATAGATATACCTAACTTAACTATCTTTTAACATTCATACTAGCTTTATAAGTGATTGGTTTACTACCTTTACCATATGTTTGCTTTTAGCAGTGAATATTTTTATTTCATAATTTTCTTCCTTCTTCTTATGGCCTCTTTTCCACTTAAAGAAGTCCCTTTAACATTTATTATAAGGTTGGTTTACTGAAAATGAACTCCTTTAACTTTTGTTTGAGAAACTATTTGTTTCCTTCAATTCTGAATGATAGCCTTGCTGGGTAGAGTATTCTTGGTTGTAGTGTATTTCCTTTCAGCACTTTGAATATATCACGCCACTCTCATCTGCAAAATTTCTCCTGAAAAATCAGCTGACAGTCTTATGGTATTTCCTTGTATGTAATAGTTGCTTTTCTCTTGCTACATTTAATGTTTTATCTTTAATTTTTGACATTTTAATTATTTATGTCTTAGTGTGGACCTCTTTGACTTCATCTTTATTGGGGCTCTCTGCTTCCTCGATCTGGTTATCTGTTTCCTTCCACAGATTTGGGAAGTTTTCAGCTATTATTTCTTCAAATAATTTTCTTGGCCCCTTCTTTCTCTTTTCTTCTGAAATCCCTATAATGTGAGTGTTATACATTTGATGATGTTCCAGAAGTCCTTTAACCTATCCTCATATTTAAAATTCTCTTTGGATGGCTTCCACTACCCTTTCAGATTGTTCATCCATTCTTCTGCATCATCTAATCTGCTGTTGATTCTCTCTAGTGCATTTTTCATTTCAGTTATTGCATTTTTTCAGCTCTGATTGGTTCCTTTTTATACTATCTCTTTTTTGAAGCTCTCACTGTGTTTATCCATTCTTCTCCCGAGTTCAGTGAGTACCCTTATGACCATTACTTTGAACTCTTTATCATGTAGATTGCTTATCTCCATTTTACTTAGTTCTTTTGCTGAGGTTTTATCTTGTTCTTTCATTTGGAACATATTCTTCTGTTTCCTCATTTTGCCTGACTCTCTACACTTGTTTCTGTATTTTAGGTAGGTCAGCTACATTTCATGGTTTTGAAGGTAATGGGCTGATGCTGAAGGCATTTTGTGGGGTACAGGAATGCAATACCTCCTGCTCATCAGACCCAGGCCCTCCAGGGTTGTCCCTTGTGTAGACCGTGTGCGGCCCCCAGTGGCTGGCTGAGAGTACTAGCTGCAGCTGCTGTGGGTATGCTGGTGGGTGGGTTTAGTCCCTGGTGTGGTTGGCTGGGAGGCCTGGTGGCAACTGTTGTTGATGTGCTGCTGGGTAGGGCTCTTCCCTCTGTCTCTGAGGCAGAAGTTGCTTTGGAGGAGTCCTGGACCTAGCCAGACTGCCCACCATGTATGGCAGGGTGGGAGCCACTTTGGAAGGGCACCTGGCAAGGTAGGTGGGTTTGCACAGGGCAGCCACAGAACACCTGAGTGGATCACCCAGTGCTGTCAAGGTAGATGAAGAGTGTTCAGAACTAGCATGGGCTAACTAGGCTGAAGGAGGATAAGAAAAATGGTGCCTGTCAGCACTTTTGTTCCCAGAGAAAGTTCCTATAGATCCCTGCCCCTCCAGCATTTGCCCTAAAAGTAGTCAGTAAATCTCCTTCATGTATGGCCCAGGTGCTTTTCAAATTGCTGCCTCTATGCTGGATCCCAGAGTGAGTGAGATTGTGCTCAGGCCATGAAGAACAATGTCAGTTTCCTATAGCTCTCTTGCTCTCCTGAAGCTAAGCCCTACTGATTTTCAAACATCTTGGAGTTAAGCCCTACTTTCAAAGCCAGATATTATGGGGCCTTACCTTCCTGGTGCATATCCTTGAAGGGAGGAGGTGGTCAATGTGGGCTTGAACCTCTCACCTTCAGGGAAGACCTCCACACCCATGATATCTCTTTCATTTGTGGGTTGCCATGCTGGAGGTTTTAGGTCCCAACCAAAATACCCCTTTTGATGTGGCTTTTTCTTTATATCTTTAGCTGTGTTAAAGTTGTTCTGATAGTCTTCATGTTCTTCTCAGAGAGAGATGCTCTATATGTAGTTGTAGTCTTGGGTGTCCATGGGAGGAGGTAAACTCAGGATCTTCCTATCCTGCCATCTTGATCCCGTTCCTCTGCATTTGTTAAACTACATTTCCTATACTCTCTTGCTGCTAGGGTTATGAATAGAAAGTTGGTTTAGAAACAAATGCACTCACACAAACTTTGTAGTTCAAACTGAATCACATAGTGAGACAGGTACAGCACAGGGCACACCTTTGTCTGTTGTACTTTGTGGCAGGACTGTTTTCTGGAACTGGTGATTCAGCAGAAAGCTTCCTATTCATGATGATAAAGGCAGCAAATCCTCTGGTAGCCAAATTCTGCTGTATGATTATGGGAGTCGTTCATGAAAGTACAGCCTGAGCCCTCTCAATAATCCATAGCTACTTATGCATCCTTTCTGCTTAAAATGGCTGGAGTGAATGTTGTTGTCTACTATAAGAATGCCAAGTAGTACTTTCCATATCTTTGTCTTTAAACAACTATATTAACATCTCGATTGGGAAAATTCATGTAAAGCATATTAATGCATTATTACCTGCCAAAAAGTAGTTACTGTTGTGTTCTTCTTATTCTTATTCTCAAGTGATTTTACAATCAAAATACCTCTGTTTGAATTATGGCTTTAAAATATGTTCTTTCTGCAATTTTGGTCAAGTTGCTTAACCACTCTAAGGTTTGATTTCTTTATCTATATACTGGGTAAAAAGTACAACTACTTCATGGAGATTTGTGAAGATTAAATGAGAACATGTAAATAAAAATTTCTTGTCTGTACTTTGCTATTTTCCACACAAAGAATCTGATTTGATCAAAGTCATTTCCCACATTGCATCCTGTTTTTAAATTCCATGACCTTACCTTGCTTTTTAGAATGCTGGGCACACATTTTATTTTTTTTTAAGATTTATTTCTTTATTTTAGAAAGAGAGAACGCACACAAGTGGGGGCGGGGCAGAGGGAGAGAATCTTCAAGCAGACCCCCCCGCTGAGCACAGAGTCCCATGTAGGGCTCCATCTCATGACCCATGAGATCATGACCTGAGCTGACACCAGGAGTCGCATGCTTACCCGACTGAGCTACCCAGGTGCCCCTGGGCACACATTTTAAAAATTACACTCAATGCCTCTATATTCTGTTATCTTCTGTTTTTCAAATACATTTTTCAAGTTGTTTCTTATCCATGAAGTCCTTTCAGGGACCTGCAACCTACCTTGATCACTTCTTGATGTTGGAGCTCCTACAAATACCAAGTATTTTAGCACTTCACTGTTTCCCAAATGAATTTTTAGCTCCTTATCATTAGTAACAATTACTTTAAAAAAATCTCACAGAGCACTTAAGAGAGTTTACCATTTAGTAGTCCCTTGAAAAATTGCTGCCTAGATGATTTATCATGTCATTCAGTGAATTCAATTAGATTATACATATTTTTGGAATATATTGTCAAATGTAGGCAACTTAGATATAAGTAATAGTTAAACAGTATTTAAAATTATATACATAGTATTTTTCCTACTTAAATTTGTTCTTCTTTACCAAAACATATCTTCCTGTCTCTGATTTCCTTTAATTGTGCTTAATTCTACCACAGAGACAGTAATAATATTACAACGGTTGACAAAGTGAACACATAATATACCAGGGTCAACATTAAAATAGGTTAATGACTTCAGTTTCTTAGACACGTAATTCTTAGACAAATGTAAGAATTTGCACAGAGGAGAGGGCCTAGAGCATGAGTTTTCAACCTTGGCTGCACATTGGGATACCCGAAGAGCTTTAAAAGAATACCAATCAATACCTGCATCTTAAACCCGGAGACCTCCATTTAATTGAACTAGCATATCGCTTCACAGCAGGATATTTAGAAGTTAACCAGATGATTCTCATGAGCAATTAGAAATGAAAACCACTGGTGAGAGGTTTTTTTACATTTAGCATCGTCTCCCATTCACTTTTCTCTCACCATTTTGCTTTAGGAACACGCTGCCCAATTAGATTTAAGGCCATTCATCTAAGCATTCCTTATCACCATTGGCACCTTTGGCCTACATATACATGTAAGCATGATAAGATGGTATTATTTTAGAAACTATTTTCTAAAAGTATCTTTATAATTTTAGTAGACAGTAACAGTATTCACATACTCTAGGGGATAAAAAGGTAATAACTAAAATATCAACCTGGCAAGAAGTGGAGAGAGGACAAAAAGAAAAGTCTGTAGCTGTATTAACTATAAATAAGAGTTACAGTTTCAGGCTATATGTACCTGATCGATGGTACCCAGAACATCACTGAAGCTGTTTACTTCTGATAAAAGCAGAGATATTATAGATTTTCTCAACAAGCTGCAACTTCCCAGGGTTACCAGACTCTGAGAAACATAATTCTGCACCTGAAACTAAAGATAAAAATGAATAGGTTTCCATTTTCTATCAAGTCAGGTCAAAATATATTTAGTGGGCAATTTCTAAGACTTTATTACTAAATCCATACTGTTAGAGGAGTACAAAAGGTGTCAGCATAATTCTGGATCATTCTTAAGCAAAATTATGAAATAGACAAATTATAACTATATAAGTTTTTAAAATTTTGTACAGGAGTTAATATTTTGAAATGTATGACAAAGTGCTGAAATCGAAGTTTTAGTTGAAGTATCAAAATAAATATATTTAGATTATAGACCATACATAGACTGAATAAAGAACATAAGACTCTTAAGCCCTTACCCACTAGATATAAGTATAGGTATAGATATAGATATATATAAAAGGTGAAAGAATGTAGTTTGAAGATGTCTTTTGGGATAGATATTGGTGCACTATGAATCCCACTTCCACATTGGAGACAGGTGAGAAGGACTTCTTTGTTCTCTATAAGTCAAAAGAGAGGCACTTTAGAGAGAGGAGAAAAAAATGTAGGACCCTAAATTTTCATCTAGAGGCAGCAAAAAGTACTCACCACTAAATAAATGTAAACGGACAATGGGAGACAATAAACTATATCCCATATAATTATTAGGAAAAAGGCCATTTCATTATTAATCACATTAAGGTGTGTATAACTCAAAGCTGGAACTTCATTAAACATGTCCCTTAATATATTTTGGAGAAAGGAAGCTTCAGAAGTATCCTGAAACAAAGAAATAGCACCTACCTTGTCATGTTCTATAGATTAAAATCGTATTGCGGAGACATTGCTTTTGTATATAAAATGTCTAAATGACAATGCTAAATAATGCCACATGAAAGTAGGAAATGTCACCCGTGTCCTTTAAGATAAAGACTTGACATAGGTATTTCTCAAATTGATATTTTAGTAATACACTTTAAAAGTTAATCAATGACAATAAAATAGTTAACAGATTATAGAGTTCAAAAGAAATTTCTATTATAAATCTGGATATGCATAACTAGTTCTTAATAATAGTTTTCTAAGTCAACTTGCCAACTCAGTTCTAAAACCACATCAATTTATTACCATAGGAAATCATAGTTATTTATCATTTTTGTTTCTCAATCATGTAACTGGCTAAGACTCACACTCTCTGTAATTCTAATACTCACACCCTCTGTATTTCTCCAGTGCCATTTTTTTGCAGATTGTTTACATTTTTGTTTGTACCTTATCTAAGCTCTAAAAAAATTCTGTTGGGTATTTCACTGATGTTCTTGTTGTTTCCCTCCTTTCTTAATATGTAAGTCTTCATGAGATAAAGAAAAAAATTCACAGTGAAACAAAAGGTACTTTAGAGAGTGAGAATAAAATTATGAGGGTGGTCACAGGGTTAGGTTTGTAGACTCTGGAATCTAACACTGCCTGAGTCAAATCTTAGCTCCACTGCTTATTAACTTGTACTAGCAGGTTACTTAACTTTTTAGGTCTGAGCTTCCACATCTGCAAAATAATGATTATGATGGCACCCACTTCAGTTGCTGTGCATATGAAGTTAGATAGTAAAAATGGTTACCATAATGCCAGGCACCCAGTAAATGCTCAGTAAGTGTTACATGTTAACATAAAGTAGGTTGATAATAGAAAAGCTTAAAGTTTACAGAAGTTTAATTCATTGAATCCTGAAAAGTTAAATACTAGAAATAAAATCTTTTTCTAGAGTTAATACAATCCTATTAGAGAACAGTGCTCAGAAGAAAAGTTCATCATAAAGACCTTTTCCATAACCTAGATAGGAATTGTTACAGTCTCCCCAATATGACTGAAGTTCATAAGAGAACAAAGACTAAGTATATAACTGTTAAGGTAATTTAAATTTTGTTAACATTTTTATAAAAATGGCTTCTATTCTTCCTTACATTTTAATTGACACTTGCCCTTTTGTAAATACAGTGGAACTTTTGAAAGAGGCTGGCATGGAAGCCAGGGCTTACATAGGAGAGTCTACCGTAGTAAAAACATGGTTGAAAACAACACACATGCCATCTTTTTCTAGCACATCTTCCTGTATTGCAGGGACTGGAACCTAGGAACAATTTTCCCCAGATTCCTGTGCAGTTTGGATTTTGGATATTATTTGAGTTCTGTTAATCAGAACTGAGACCTTGATTTAGAAGTGCATTATGGAAGAAGAGAAGCAGGGCACACGACATGCATTCTGTTGGTGCAAACTGTGGCAGAGATCCTTTATCCTGTAGCTGGTTTAGAGGCTCCCTACTTTTGCAAGTTCTTAATCCTGACAGAAGCAGTAGGATGCTACCTTGATGGCCCAGTGGTTTAGGAAGTCACTCCTATAAACTCAGCCTCCTCAAATACTTATACACTCACCCAAACCAAATGTGTTTTGATCTACATCTACATATCCCCCTGGAGGATTCACAGGGCCCAGTGCTGACATTTCAGTCTTGAAATATGCAGAGGTGGAAATTCTTACCACATGCCCAACACATTTGCCTATTTGACCTGTGTAGAAGACAGAAAGCTCTTGGAGAATGGCAGTGAATAAGCACAAACTTCATCAGGGGTGTTTCTAATTCACAATGATACTATTCCAGTTGTAGTTTCTTTCCTGGCTTCTGATATTTGTTAGGTCTTAATCTGGGAATTTTTTTTTTTTTATTATCCCAATAAGGATAAAAAGCAGTTTGCATTCACCTAGGAGTCATCATTATACTTTTTCTGTCCTATTTAAGACCATGTCAATTTGCTGGTTCTGTGTCATTATTTAGTTCATAGGACTCAGATCATCAAAACATTCCACAGGACATCATGCTGGTGTACTGTATCAAAATCACGCTTACATGGCAATGGTTTTAAAGGTCCTGGTAAAGTACATACATTAGAAGAAAGTAAACCCCAGGATTCAGGTACCTGATACACTTGGGACATTTCTGGGTCTGACGCATGTTGGAATACCCCTTCCAAAGTGAAACACAAGTTGCTTTAGTATGTATTTCCTATCAGTAATAAAAATATATAATACTTGGTGGGCACTTGTGGATATCTGAGGCAACATATATTCATTTCAGTTTACCGCTTGGATGCACATGTTGAGTAAATCATGTCTATAAACTTTGAGAAGAGCCCAGAGTAGTATAAAGAGCTCTAGCAGGTCTAAGTTGAGGAAGAAGCAACTCTGCCACGTGGACCTTATGACCGATAATATCCAATGTTCTTGGAGCTAATCAGTAACTGGATGAAGCCTGTGGTTGAACCTAATAAGAAAATCACAAAGGAGAATCCTTGGTTTGGGGAGAAAGTCAAACCCTTGTTTTGACATATACATATATATACATATACATGTGTATAAATATATATACACATATAAATATATAGTTATATATACATATAAATGTTTATATTATATAGTTAGTATTTCTATATGTAAATATAGATATAATATATATTTAATAAATATATTTATTTGTGTATATATAACTATATAAATATATTTTATATAACATGTATAATATATATTAAATATACAAATATATAATATAGTCATATATATACACACACAAATATATATATACACACACACACATATAAACACATAAACACACACACATATATAAAAAACACTATTTGGCCCTATTAGAGATTAAATGACTGTCTCATCATGGGACACCAAGTGATTATATGCCCAAAGCTGCTCATTTGAACAGTATTACCTAAAGTCAGGTATACACAGCAATACTCCATCATCAAGTAGCTGTAATATATATACATTTGTGATCAAGCAGGAAATAAAAGAAGAAGCACTGCTTGAGCAGTTAGTTCCAACTAGAATACCACTCTTTTTAAGGTTGAATTATAGGAAAAATTATGTTCTAAGCCAATGACCAATATATGATGTTCTTTCTCTGATAGCCAGAATGTTTGAATTCAGAAACCAAGGTATGAAAGAGACTGGGAACTCTCAATATTACATCTAATGATTCACTGGTAAAGTATTCTTCACACCCTGTGACACTGGATTCTGGTTTAGATGTCTAAATAAACAAGTAAAAATGGTTCCTACCAAAGGACCCAACAATTATTTTATGAACTGGAAATTGAGATTTCTATATGGACTTCTTTCACCACTCTGCCAGTGCTAAAAGGGGGTTCCTGTGTTGACTGGAGCAATTGATCTCTGATTGAGGAAAACAGGAATTTAAACCACAATGGCAGCAGAGAAGATTGTGTTTGGAAGCCAGGGGTTGCCTGGTATTACTGTCCAACTAATAATAACTAAATAGAATACTATAGCAAACTCATGAGATAAGACCACCCAAAGGCCAGATCCTTTAGGGATGAAACTGTGGGTTAATACAACTAATTGACCAAGGGAGAATGTAACTGGCAGTGGAGGAAGAAAGTCAATACAAATTGGACTTATAACCACTTATAACTGAAGGCCATGAAGGGTTATTTTTTCTGTGTGTGTGTGTATATGTGTGTGTATGGGTAGGTTATTTTGGCAGTGGATCACTTTATAATTTAGTCTGTGAATTACAACATATCAAACTAGAATTGTGATGGAATTAGCATAGGCATGATTATCACATCATCATATAAAGTAGTATCACATCACATGAAATGATTGAGACTTTGAATCCTTCCTTTTGAGAAGAGCTCTATAGATTTTTGTTTCTACAGAGCATTGGTATATTATGTCTTCAAAGTATACTGTTTTTGCTATTGATATTTTGGGAAGGTTTGAAAAAGGGAAAATATAATGTTGAATAATGAGAGGGGTAGTCTATAGCAGATAGATTGGAGTATCCTTTCAAGTATTCTTCAAGCAAGAAGCTGTACTAAAAAGGCTAAAACTATGTTTCTAAAACTTTCAGAGAAGGTTCTGGATATAATTTAAATTTTCCTAATCAGTCAATCTTATGTAAGACATAGAATTATTTGGGGTGAAGGGCAGATTGCAGGGCATCCTTTGTGAATAATGATACA